AACTCTGGGGAGACCCCAGACACAAAGTGTGTCGTATTCGTACCATGGAAACTGTGGGAATTAGAAGCACGAATCCCCTCGCTGCAGATGTGGTTCCCCATGGTCTTATCAACGACCTTCGTGTGTGTGTGTGCGCAAGCATCGGCAGGGCTGCGATCTTAGCTTGTGATACGACTCGGCAGGCACGGGGGAGTAGGTTCTTCCTCTCCAGACGCGCCGGGCTCTCGGCATAAGAGCATCCCTGCGACTAGCAAAGACGACATGATGGTCGAGCTTGGTGTTAAGCAATCATGCCAACAGACAACACTTTACCGGTGCATCGATTCAAGCCGCCACCTGTGTAGAGCGCGGCTTGATGCACGCAGCACAACGCAGGCATCGAGGCCCGGATCGTCATAAGCAAAAACCCTCCCCCCAACGCCCTGGAGTTTAAGCATTTTTACAGGGCCTTTTGGTTGCCCTATGCGCACTCAGTTGGCAGCCCCTCTAGGTCCCCGCAAAGAACACGTTGATTCGCCGCGTTTGAAAGCTAGGCCCAGAAAATAGCTGTCACACACAATTTATTTGCATGGGAGAATGACCTCAACCCACATTAGAGAACCCTGCAATGCCCTGTAGCGGACCTCTTTGCAACCCGTCAGCCCTTCACGTCGGAGTCGTCTTCGTCCTCGGAGGAGGCCTTGCCGCACCTGTCATGATGAGTGACCGCGGAGCTGTGCGACGCTACAAGGGAGGCCGGAAGGGCCTGGTACTTACTCCAGGATACGGAGGTCGCGGGCGCAAGAGAGGCATCTGTCATCTTCCACCGGGACCGCCGACCTTCCACTGGACACTCGGCAAAGGTCCGACATCTTTGGGGTATTACCAGCGACCCGAACATTTGCAGGGGAACAAAACAAAAAACAAGCAGCCTCTGGTGCCGCGACGCCATCGACAAAATCTGTCACCGTTTCAGCCTTAGTATGGAACTTATGTACCTGTGTGACAACAGAGCACCAGATCACTTGAGGTCAGAGCAGCCAAAGCCGGAAAAGAATCATGAGAAGGAACTCGCGCCAAGCCGACGCGATTCCGAGTGCTGACCTTACGCAGTCAAAGATTGTTTAAGAAACTGTGACCCTTCATGTTGCCTCCGTCGAACGAGGCCCTGCTGCTTGATCTCTGTGGCTATGGAGCAAGAGGCGAAGTGACATACCTCAGCATGTAGGATGGCCTTCTGCAAGGTTTTTGAGCTTGAGCACGTAATCGGGGCTTTGCCTCAGCATTGATGGGTCATTTGTGTTTGACGATGATTTGTCGCGCTTGTAGATGGGTTTCTTGAAATGCTTCCAAGCCGGTTTAGGAGCCAGGGTTTCTTGAAATCTGTGGCTTACGGCTCCGGTTGTGGTTGTCGAAAGACACTTGTAAGCCTCAGTTGTTCGCTGCTCGCCGATTTTTCCCCCACGCACTACTTACCTCCCACCCGGCTTCTCGTCAAGGACCGAGTGATGTTTGTGGCGATGACGACGATGATCGTCCACACAATTTCATCACGATCTACAACTCATAATCATCATCAGCATCAGCATCAGCATCATCATCAGCATCACCAACACCAACACCATCAGCATCATCATCATCATCACCATCATCATCATCATCGGCATCACCATGCCCATCGCCGTCGCCATCGCCATCGCCATCGCCATCGCCATCGCCATCGCCATCGCCATCACCACCACCACCACCACCACAACAACAACAACAACCACCATCATCATCATCATCATCATCATCATCAACCTCCCCATCAACATCAACATCATCATCATCATCATCATCATCATCATCACATTTTCTGTTGACTTCACCAGTTCACAATCAACAGTTTTTGTGTTCAATTACAATTTTGGAATAGTGACCCTAATCATTGAAACATGTATCTATAGACAGGCCCTGTGAACAGCGCACGAGACGCCTGTGCTGTGAGGTCCAGCGCAGCCTCCCTGCGGACTCTCGGTGCTGCAAGGGTGTACACTGCGCTGCTTGGCATGCCGGCCAGGTAGAAAGAGATGCCGGGAGGTCGCCGGACACCTTCCGGCACGTGCCACGACATTCCTGCGCGGCGCACCCAGGAGTCGACCGAGAGAAAAAGATAGATCAGAACAGCATTTCTTCAATATTTCTTGTTGGTCTGTACTGTAGAAATGCTGATCTCGTCTTGGAGATTCAGATCGTTATGAACTTGCATTTGCCGGCAAGTGTTTCGAAGCCTTTGATGATCAAACTTTTATTGGATTGAAGATCACGTAGATTCCCATTGTGATGGCGAGGCTGAGGCTTAGATAAGCCTTATTTGTCAAAGGCCCTGTGTTGCAGGCGAGGATTCTGCCGGTGTTGGCGCATGCATGGCTCAAGTCTGGGGGGAGCCCCCCGGACCTCGCAGAACCCAGAAAGTTGCACATCTCGAAGGCAGAAACCTGCTTGCAAAGAGCCCGACCCCATAGCTCCCCGGAAAAGCCCTCAACGCCACATCGTTGATGTTTCGATTTTGCTGACTTAGGCATCGTTGGTCGGAACCCACATGATGGGCAGCGGTTTGTGTGCTAGTTGTCAGATGGAGACGATATCACGATATGTTGTGACCTTTTCAAGCTACGAACTTAGCAACGACGACAGCACGGCCGGCCTGCATCCGTTTGCCCGAGCGTGATGGCTGGGCGCCTGGAGCGCCAACATGTTCAAGCAGAGCAATTCCCCGCTTTGCGATATCATGACATTTAGAGGACATCGAACTCGCCTTTTGGTGTGGGGCTTTGCGGGTTTGGTGCTGAACAATGCCAAGTTTACATTGCTATGACTGTCCAGGCTGTGCGTGTTTCGCAGTTGTGTGAGGATGCGTTGGCGGGCAAATATTTTTGCTAACTCAGGAATCAACGAAGAAGCAAATCGAAGGCCCTACCACGCAAACTCCGGAATCAGGATGGCAAGGTGTCAGTAGTGGTGGTTGAGCTTCGTGCGACCAGCAGATGCAACCCCAAATGCAGGCTGAAAATCACTCTTACACACTGTATAGAACCCCGAAGCGCGGCACTTATTCTGATTGCTCTAGGGTTTAGTTTAGCTATTGTAGAGTGATGGAAAAATAGGATAGCAGCCTCTTGGCCCCTTGGACACTGAGGCTTTGGCTCCAGTAGCCTTGGGTTTGGCAGGGGCGTCGCCACTCGGAAGCAGAACCTTGGGCAAGGTTTCTGGGTTTCAGAATGACTTTTTAGGGGTATACCTTGAAGCTGAACCCTAAGCCATGTAGGCTTGGGGGTCGTGCGTAAAGGATGTACGGTTTTGAGAGGTTCAGGATGGTAGGGTTCAAGTCCTCAGCATTTCCGTTTCACGGTGTAGTTTGGGGCCTGACGTGAGGCAGGGTTCGTGACGTCATCGAAACCAGGAGTTCTCATGTTAACACGAGGAACGATGTGCAGTAAAATTGGCAAGCAGCAAGTATTTGGAATGATCGACTCTGACTTCCCCAAGCCTTCAACCTCGATCCGTCCCACCCACAGAAAGTTTCGCCTAGTGTCCCATCTTTCAAAGCCCCAAACCGCTATTCCAAATTATCCTAAAGCTGAAACCATAAACCCCAAAGCCTACAACGGGCACGTCCTAGCTGGTAGGAGGCAAAATAAAATTTGCAAGCCCTAAAATCTGAACCTATCACACCGAACCATTGATCAATCGAATCCCTGAACCCTATAAACCCTATCTCTAGAGCACCTAAACCCCTAATCCTAACCCAAAACCCTAAACCCTGGCCATCTGAACGACATTGCCGCGACCTCGCAGCTGCATCTTTCAGGCTGACAGTGGCTGATGGAACCTCAGAATTTCGGGCCGTGTCGTTCACGGCTTTACTACAGGCGTTACGTTAAGGGAAACAAGTAGGGGCTGTTTAAACTAGACCAGGGCCTCGGATATACGACAGCATATTTATTTTTAGGAAGGAACCCTATATTGATGCTGGCTTAAGGGCTTTTGGTTACGGTACCATAAAAGGTAGTATAACAGTATAACGGCCCTTTACTGGTGCTATTCAGGTGTTAAGGTTTTGGACGTCAGGGTCAGGCTGAAGAGGTGACGGTTTATGGCTGGAGGGTTTGGGGTTTCGGATTGTCGCGTGTTGGGCTTGAGGATTGAAACTTCTATGGGGTCAAGGCTTCATGCTTTTAAGGTTTCGGAGCTTCATGGATCTCCCGAAAGCGGGTTAAGGGCTTCAGAGGTTAAGGAATGTTGCTGTGGCTGCACATGATGTGCTGCTTTGCCGGCAGCTTTCCGGGTCCCATGCCTTAGAGGTTCTGGGGCCGACATATAAGTGCATTGCAATTCCATTGGTAGTTGATGCACTTCTGTGAAGATTTATCTTCGTCTTGCCTTGCACTGCCACGTCTGCTCTGAGTTCCTCTGGCGCATCGTGAAAATAGAACGTTAGACGCCATGCGAAGCCATAAAACCTACCCAGAAAACTAACCCACGTCCACGGATGGTTAAAGAAAGGATGCATGGAAACCCAGGATATTGGATGCTGGGTTTGGACAGTGTTTCAAGTTGACGGTTTGGTTCTTTGATTTTGAGGATATTAGACTGAGAGATTTGGTTTTGCGGCTGAGGATGTAGGAGTCTTCAGGATGCAGGGTTTTGCATTTCCCATCTACTTCGGGGCTGCCAAGTCCACCATAGCACATGCATGTGTACAGTCCTTTTTTCTTGCTGCGCCGCAACTGCGTGAGCTGTGCCTTGCAAGCGAATGTGTGGCAGCGACAGAAACACAATACACGTACGCATGTGCACACACTTATGTGACCGAAACGACAGCCCAGCTAAGCGAGATTCGGCATCTTCCACCGGGCCTGGGCTGTGTCAGTTGAGCATGTAACAGCATCCAATATCAACTGCACAGCTTGCAAAAAAATGAAGTGATACTGTTACTGAAAAACGAACAGAACCGTGCAGCGGCTCAAGAAGCTCTGACTTTTGCCCAGGCCGTGGATCGCATCTCGAAGCGCCTTGCGAGGTGGACAACTTAAGGATGTGGGATGTCCAGTCGCGGTTATCGCTTTCAGGGCCCAGAGCCTCCAAGCAAAGAGCGACTTTACATGGAAATGGACGTCCTAAGATGTTTGTTTCTTGCCGATCTTGAACTTGGACCTAGGAAAGAAAGGAGGGGCATGAGAATGACAAAGATTCCGAAAGCCGAACGGCATTGACATGACAGGAGGGAAGCTTCTAGCAACCAGTGAGCACTGATCTCAAGCCCCAGATCCTATAAAAAGATGACAGATGACTTCATATATACTCTGTACGATCTATTGGGGCGCATGTCCGCATATAACAGTGGGTCGGTCGGCTGCGGACACCACATTTACACCGTTTACGCAAGCTACTGGTCTTCCAATACACAGTTCGCAGTTCTTCCTGAATCTCAGTCGCCGAGGATTTAGAGTCACATGTCTAAGCGCTCGAAAATCCAAAGTCGCAGCCGCATAACTTCAGGCCATCAGTCCGAAGCCTTACATGACTGCAGGATCTACCAAGAGTCGGGTACTTCATTTGACGAGTACGATGTGATGGTCGGCGCTAGCAGAAGGTTTGAGGTGCTTGGCCTGAGGATTTAAAATCGAAGGAATGCACCCTCAATAGGTTACACGTCTGACCAGCAAAGTATAGCAAATTATCTCCCTTTGTGGTTTTTTTATACATTTGCACCAGAACACACCAGAGATAATAATAGGGACAACATGCTACAGGTCGCAGCATGCCTCTCCCAAGTATCCCGAAGTAAGGCATGACCCTTTTGGGGTTGAGGGACCATCCTGTAGTAGTTGCCTCCACGTTGAAACTGCAAGCCCAAACCATGCAGCCTTACATCTGAACCCTACACCCTACCCCCAATCCATAAAGCCCTAAACCCTATAAGCCCCACGTCCCAAACCCTGAACCCGGGCCGTTTGAGAAACAGAGAGACCTCAAATGCCAAGTCCCGGGGTGGCCAACGATGGGCTTCCAGAGGTCCAAGGCGGCTGGACAGATTAGACAAGCCAGCGGCCAGAGTGATAGAGTGATGAGAGTAGGGTTCCTTTGAGGGGTCAAGAATGGGTTCTACTATAGGGGCCATAATGATTAAAGCAGGGCATATGATGTCGTTAACTTGCTGGGACGAGAGATACCCAGAGACGGTAATACCCACAAGTTTTTGATCTCAATACAATCTACGATGGGACTTGGGGCTTGGCGTGGAAATGTGGCTTGCACATGCTGTGCGCATACTGAAAGATACCGCTTAGAGACTGCTGCGCGAAAGCAAACAGGGCTGTTCCCGATGCGGTTCGGGCGGTTAGGGTTCCGCTTGAGGCTTTGAGGTATCGGTTCAACTAGTTCCAACAGCAGTAACAGTAACGTGAATGACCATGAACAACAACAGGAATACTATCAGTATTCAAAAACATCAGTAAGGCAAAACTGGTGGTAGCGATAATAGTTTGCAACGGTGGCTCGACTTTTTCCGGATCTTGATTTTGGGGCCGGTATAACAGCCCAAAATTAGATGTCCATCCCTGAGCCCCCTGCGGCTTCCTAAGCTGAGGCCTGCGGAGCTATCCTTCTGATAAACACCCGATGAGCACGGTATGGCTTAGAACAAGCTTGAATGCCCTTGCCGTCGCTGTTGCTGATGTCGAGTGTCATCACCTTATACACAAGAATGGCAAGCAATTGCTCTTTAAGCTGCTCACAACAGAAGACTAGGAGCCAGAACCCGAGTGGGAGAAATGCTTCTCGGTGGATCTAGGGCCGAGCGTGCTGACATCTGCCAGGCGGCAATTCACCAGCAGGGTGCCCGGATGTCACTGTGCTTGTGCACATCCAGAAAGATATTGTCAAGAGGCTGAGGCCAGGTGGTGTGTGTGTGTGTGTGTGTTTTGTTGTTTTTTGCTCGGATTCTATTGAGGATTTCATGGCGGCCAAAACAGGATTGCAACCGTCGAAAATTTTGGTACTTGGACCCTTGGGGAAGAAACACCCCCAACACCTCGGGGGGGGAGGGGGGTTGAGATGATGAAAGGGCCACAGGGCCTTGATGTTTCTAGGGTAGATCATAGACTGGACCATTAGGCTGGAGGTTGTCAGTTTTGGAGTGGAGTTTGGATCTGTGTCGGATTGAGATTTTGGCTTGACCTCAAGGGCTCTTGCGCATTGCACCACTGCCAGCTTTTCTAGAACGGAAGAAAGTGTGTTCTCGAAGGCTCGAGCTGCACAGAGAAGTTCGGAAGGCTGAGCCCCCGCAGCCATATAGATCGTAGACTATGTTTATAAACACGCAATAATCTAAACACCACCAAGGGGCTGGTAAAGCTGCGAAGTCCAGAGGCCGCCATGTCGCAGTCTGTTCATCCCAGTGACTTCGCGCGAACACAAACGTCCCCGGGCCGCCCTGAACTTGAATCAGGGCCTCGGGTCAAGAGTTGCAGGCTCTGAACCACAATGCTCCATCAGCATCAGTCTATTGGGCTTCAAGCCTCAGAAGTCATGGGTCCAGAAGAAGGGAACGCATCCCCTAAAAAAGGCTTGGGGGCCCTTGATAGTGGGTAATTAGCCTCTTCAGGGTATTTGGGTTGCAATCACTTCGGGTTCAGGGCCTGCTTAACATTAGTATACCCTCATAGTACTGATATGACCATAGTGTAGCTTAACCCTGAACCCCATTCTATTTGTCAAATTAAGGCCCCTGAATTATGGAGCCACTGTAATGGTAAGCCCTATGGAAGCCTTCGAAGCACCCTTGAGGGAACTCTAAGGGTTCAAGGTGAGTTTGGAATTTCAATTCATGAATCTCGGTGGATATAAACTCCAAGCCACATATTCCAATGCCCCAAACCCCCAATAGCCTAAGGGTGTTCATGGCTTTAGGGCTTCTGGTCGTGGGACCTTGAGATTTGAGGTTGAGGGCAATTAAACCTACTCCAAGCTACATATTCCAATGCCCCAAACCCCCAATAGCCTAAGGGTGTTCATGGCTTTAGGGCTTCTGGTCGTGGGACCTTGAGATTTGAGGTTGAGGGCAATTAAACCTAAGCCCTACCTCTATCCCTGCCTTGCAGCATCGGAAGTTGAGGTACCGGCGGTACAAGCTATGACTCCAAAAATTGTAAGCTATTTTTGGAGACGCAGGTACATCCTGCACCGGCACTGATTGGCTGGTGAGAGGGCGGTTCAACAGTTTCAAAAACAGGTACCAAACAGGGGCTCACAAGGAGCGCATCGTATATCATAAGCTTTAAACTCCAAACCCTGTGGGGTATGGGGTTCCAGGTTGAAAAGCCTTGAACCCATCGCCAAAAGCGAAATGAACAGCGTGGCAGCGTCGGCTGTTCGAACATATAGTCCTTACATGGAGCCCTGCGTCATCCAGAACACTCCCGTAGCTGCATTACGGAACCCTACAGCCCTGCAGCAACCAGAGAAGACCTTGCAAACCTCTATGCCTACCCATAGGCCCCATAGTAGTTCCTTTTTGGGGATTACCTTATAGGATGCTAAGTATGAACCCCAAAAAGGAACTGCTATGGGGCCTATGGGTACTCCCTAGTCTGAGGCAAAAATCAGAGGCCTCAGCTGCTCGCCTTAAAGCTGTCTCTGTGAATTTCGAGCTTAGGGTTCAGGAGTTGCGGACTTAGAACTTAGGGTGCATGTAAGGTTTAGAGTCGATAGGAGTTGGGTTTAGGATTTCAGGCTTAGGGCTTGGTGTTCAATCTAGGGCGTCGGTGGGAACCTGCTAGATGTGATGCTGCAGCAGGATATGAAGTCTTGGCATAGGCGCATTAGGATATTAGAGTTCATGTCTTAGGGCTACATTTTGGGCTAAGCCTGTGGAGGTGCTGGGGTTTGGACTTTCGCGGGTTTCCGGTGCACGGCTTGGAACGAGCTATGATCTTATGGCTCCTGCTAGCAGGATTGCAGCCTCATGCCCTAATGTCCTGTATACGTAGAAGGTACATAAAATGTATGTGTGTATAGATGCTCATATACATTTAAAATACGACACATACATAGAGGTATATAAATAAGACATACACATTGTGTATATGTATGTGTATATATATATATATAGATGTATGTATATGCACATATGTATATGGGTGCGTGTGTGTGTGTGTGTGTGTGAGTGCGTATGTTTCTGTATGTACATTATATATTATATATGACTGAGGTAAAGTCCAGGTAGAGTTGCAGTACTTCATGTACGCAGCAGCTACTTTTCCCTTATGCCTAATGCGCTGACCACAAGTGCCATACCTGACCAAAACACCGTGGCACCCAAAACCCCTACAGCCAAAGCCCTAGCTACACTTTAAGCTCTTTTTTGCCGATTGCAGACTGTGAGACCTCATACGGCTTGTACAAGTTGAGAGCGTAAACCCGGAATCCTCGATTCCCCGACCCTAAAGCGCGAAAACCCTTAGCCCCAAACCCCCAAACACTAAATAAAACTCCTAGCTAGACTGAAAGCCTAAAGTTCGAATCCTTTCTGTCCCTGCAGCAAAGGCCCCTGCGCAAAAGGAGGCTGCTGTAGTCCAGGCCGGCGGTTAGATACAAGGTTTCCTATCGGGGTACCATAAAAGGGTTACTATAAAGGCTTCCTAGTGAAGGAGAAGATACAGCCGGCATTGGGTTCATCCTTGCCACACTAGCAGAAGTCGTGGTATTCAGGTATCAGGGTAAGACTGCGCCTCTGATGGCTGTATCCCCTGAAGGCAAGGCGGTCTGGAAAGCCCAGACCCTGAAGCGCTAAAGCCTGAAATAGTCAGAGCCCAGGTCTCAGAAATGCAGATCCTCCGAGGGTTTGCAGGAGTTTTTGTCCCGGCGATACAAGTGGAATTTCGGAATACGCCCGTCAGGACGATGACAAGGACAAGAAAACCAACAGGCCTTTGATGGTGGTCTTCAGCTCAGTGGGTTCCGGTTTAGGGCTTTGGGTTTAGGATGCCGTGCCTACTGCACATCTAGCAGGACGAGCCGCCAAACAGACTCAAAGACGTGAACTAGCACTTGCACTAAACCTGCCACCCAAGACTGTCAGGGCAGTAGTTCGAGGTACTGGCGTAATGTGTTTTTGCTGGGCCTTGGGGAAGGACCACTCGGATCCCCAAAGCGCCCAAGAATTCAGACAGTCTCTATAGGTTTCTATAGCGTTCTATAAAGTTTAACAAATACTCCCACTCCCACTCCAACCATGCGGCATGGCATATTGTAGTATCTGATGTGGTTTTTGTCACCCCTACACATTCTACCTGGCGTCAAATCAAGGCTTCATTTCATCACAGGCGGGGCGCATGGGTTTCGCTTGTAGGTTGGATGACTATGGATCCGCAGCTTGCAAAGAAGGAACTGTTACTTTGAGCTGGGTGACAAAGCAGGCTTTCGGATTTCAGGGCATAAGAATGGTCTTCACAGCTAGGGACCTTTGCGAATCACGGTCACCCACCGGCAGACCCTGAATCCCGAAACTCGCAAGGTTGCCCCCACGCAGACATAGTGGGCGGTACGAAGAACGACATGCAAACGCCCCAGAAGTGAACTTCCATGTGGAACCCCTTCAGTCGAGATGTGGTTCGCTCCCTTGTGGCCCGAAGCCCGAAGTGTTCGGTTAGGTCTGCATGACCCATCGCACACGCACCTCTTGCATGTGCACACACAGAGGTGTAAATATATATATATATATATACAACAACAGGCGCACATATGTGTATGCACACATATCTGCTAAACATGTGCTCATTCACATACACCTGCGCACACATAGACACACATGGAAACGTGCATGTATGTATGTATGTATGTATGTATGTATGTATGTATGTATGCATGCATGCATGCATGCATGCATGCATGTACGTATGTTTGTATGAATGCATCTATGCGTGTATGTGTACATCTGCATGCATGGACATGTGCGTATATGTACAGACAGATGGATGTCTGCATCGACGCGTTGTCTACGCACAATGAATGCTTAACCCAAGACCCAAGGTCATCGTTCTTGTTCTCCTGATACCATGTGCAGCCACCGGCCGCCTGGCAGTTTGGGTCCTTGAAGCGACTGGGGCACTTAATACTTCGGGCATTCCGAGGGACCAAAGTCTCGGCTGATTTCGAGTCAGGCAGTATCTTAACCGCTTTGGTATGGGGGCTTGGGGTTTTAGAGTGTGTGGTGTGTGTGTGTGTGAAAGAAAACTCGATCTGACCTTTCTGGATGCCTAAGCTAAATTCTCCAGAGGTATCCTATAGCCGAACTTGTAACGAAGAACAGACCTTCTGGAGATAGTTTCAGTATACTGTGCAGGATGGTTGGTATGGGTGCAGCATGGAAGGCTTCGCTTTCAGCGTGCAGGCTTCAGGGTGCCGCATGCAAGGAGCGGCTCTAAACCCGACTAAACCCTAAAGTCTCCTAGTCCTAGATGCCGAGCCAGAGCTTTGAAGCCGACATGTCGGTCCTGAAGCCCGGAACTTCCATTCCAAGCTGTGTGAGGTTCGTGGGGGGGTGGTAAACAAGTGGGGTTACAAGTAGCTGTGGGGCAACGAGTAGATGCAACTCTAGGTACCCGACTTGTAACAGTACTTACTAAGCCCCCCTGACGTTCATCACTGCAGCGACTCTTTGAGTGCCTTCAATTTAAAATGAAACTCTTGTAGGAAACCGCAAACCTCAAGCCTCAAGCCTCCATTTCTGAACAACAGTAACCAAAGGGGTAACCAAGCAGCATTCCCAAAGTCTCAGGCTACCTCAGTTGGGTTGAAGGCTCGGCCTGTGCTGCGACGCGCGACGCCTGCAAGACGGAGTGCTTCGAGCCCCTGGGCTCTCCTGACACTTTCGTGGCGGAGCTCATTTGGGTTTTGGGATTGAGGGGTTCAGGCTTCGAGGGTGTGTAGAGTTTTAGGGATCAGGCTTATGGGTTTAAGCTTTTAGGCTCCTTGCGACAAGTATCTCAATAATGAGCGAAGCAACTTGGTTTTGGGGAACTCCAACTTGCTGACGCTCGTCCCATTTAGGATCTATTGCATCTTTGCCCTGCCGATCGTCAGTGTACAAACTGTCGTTGTCGCCGTCGTCGTTGTCGCCGTCGTCGTGTTCGCATCTGTAGGACCGTAAGCCGCAGCAGCAGCCGTCGTCGTCGCCGTCGTCGTCGATGGTAGTACCCTGTGCAATTTGGAACAGCCCAATCCAGAGATCAAAAAGGCTTGCCTATGCTGTCGCTCTCGTCCAAGAATCGCAGTGGCAATGTTGAATTTAATAAGCAGCACAAAGGCTTGCCAAGTGTATTTACCTCTCATGCACGGAAAGATTACTGCCATGCTGTTGGCCAGCCCCTGTGACGACAAGGAGCTATGTCAACGCAGACCGCCAGTTCCAGTCACAAATGCCGCTCATCACCGCATCAGCCCCGAAACTTGGGGATGCGGGATGCGTTTACGGTTCGGGGTTGGGGATGTGGGATTTGCAATCGGCTTACCCACTTGTTGAAGTGCGCCTCATCGCTTGGACTTGCATGGTACTGGTCGGGTCTGACCGAAGAGATCTACGATTGCAGGATCGGGCTGGGTGCATAAAGGAGTGAACACGCGATGGGATCGATTGCGAGGGCATGGTCACGTAACATGTAAGCCCTAGTCAGTGCCCCCAACATCAAACTGATGCCTGCAGGGGCTGGTAGGCCCTGGCGGTTCCGTCATCCCAACACCCCAAACCGTATTCGAGCTGCATGCTCCAAGCTCTGCCACAGCTTCCGGAAGGAAGGGAGAGATGGACTGCAATATGGACTGCGACGATGACCTTGTCCAGCGTCCTGGCAGGATGTGGGGTTTGTTGGTTTCAGAAAAGAGGACTTTGGAGTTTGGGTGCTTTTAGATCCATCGTGAGCTGTCTTTAGCTAAGTTAAGAACTTCTCTGGGTTTAGCTCTGAGAGAGCTTCCGGTAACTGCCGAGCTTTTCAGCTCAACCGTCTCGGCAATTTCAATTTTAAAAGGCTTTATCTCCTGGCTCCTTCGTGCAAAGCTTAGGGGTTTGACGGGAGTTGAAAAGGCACTCATCCTTTCACTCTAATATTTATTGCCGAGAGGACCAACCCTAAACCCTAAACCCCCTCCCAACAAATGTAAAACTGTTGTTTATCATTAGGTGGTATGTTTATCTCTGCTGTCATTGTTAAGGGATCTTGCTATTGCTCATGCGCTGGCTTTAGCTCCTGCTCTTCATCCTGCTCTTGCTGCTTGCTCTTACTCCTGCTCTTGCGTTTGCTATTACTCCTGCTCTTGCGCTTGCTCTTGCTTTTGCTCTTTCCTTACTCCTGCTGTTGCTCTGGCTTCTGATCTTACTCCTACTCTTGCTTTTGCACCTGCTTCTTTTTTTGCACTCACTCCTGTTCGTGCTTTCGCTCTTGCCTTTTTGCTCTTGCTCTTACTCCTGCTCCTGCTCTTACTCCCGCACTTGCTCTTGCTTTGGGTCTTGCCAGCTCCTGCTCTTGGTGTTGCTGCTTCTCGTGTTCTTGCCTTGCGTCCTGCTCTTGCTCCGGGCCCCCCCCCGAAAGCAAATTCGATTTTACAGGGCAGGGATGATTTCGGCAAGATCGGCCCCAAAGTGTTTTGAGCATTTGCGGGTTGTTTTCCAAATGTGGGAAGGCTTTGTGGTCTGCGGGGAAATGTCCGGATTTCCGGCTTCTCGCTTGAAGATCAGTCAGGGGACTTAGTAAGTCAGTGGGATTCGAAGTAGTATTAGTATCGCTTGGCTCATACTGTTGAGCTTCTAGCCTTATGGTCTGAAACTACCCAGTTGATGAAGAGCACGGTGGTTGTGATCGTGATGGCTAAAGCAGCAGATACCGCAACAAGCACGTTCTCCACGATTTTGAACACGCCATGTTGAAGATATGGTGCAGGTCTTGGCGATGAGGTTGAGGGTGATGAGAAAAGACACGGATCGGGTAAGGAGCCTGGAAAAAGGGAGAACTCGCATGAACGAATCGTGCGGATAGGAATAGGACGAGAAAGTGGTTGGCTACGCCCGTTCTTGAGCCCCCTATGATTGTGGAACCCGTATTGCCCGCCTGTGGAGCCCTTGACGGCACCCTTTAGTTGCCAAGAGGTGCTCTGCGGTCTCTACCAACCTCTTCTTCGGCGCCTCGTTTCTGGGCGGAGGCCTCGCAGGAGAGTAACGCAGCACATTGTGCCGGAATTGGCCTTGGGCGTGAGGGGTAAGTTGCTATGGAAGGTCGTGCCTTTTGCTCAGATACGTGCATGTAAGTAAAGACAACTCAGCTAGCTGGATGGCACTAAGTTTCATTGGATGTTGCCAGTGACCAACACTGCCCCTTCTGATCGTGCACATGTTCGAGCCTCCTATTTCGTCTTGAGTATGAAGACCCTCGATGCTGACGTGCGAATGATACACTCCACTACTGCACAGATTCCACTGCTATATGAGTTATATGCTTCATGTGCTTGGTCTTGTTTGCACGATCAGCTGCATTCTGCGCTCACAGCGGCATCTATTTGAGATCTCAGTGTTGCAGTGGGGTATTTGCTGGTGGAAGCTCTGGCATGCCGAGAAGCATTCACTGGTCTGCTCGCTTGCTAGAGGCATTCATGATAGGTATGATTTTCTATCTTGGTACCTAGAGCCTAGAGAGCTTGCTACCGTGTCAGCTCTGAAACCCGAAGTTTGTATGTAGACGGTTCTCTCGCTGCTGTACCTTCTCGATCGTTTTGGTCCCGGATCTCTTGCAGTATGCGCCTACAAGTAGGTTATCCCGGCACTCAACTGGGTGCATGGAACCTCGCAGCCTGAACCCTAAGCTTGACCCCTCAGCGATCCGGCTATCCATACATCTTTAAACTGGAGCCCTTTGCTTTGACCATAACAAGTTGCATCCTGCTGCCCTCCATGCCCTTACCAGCCCTCAGGCCACAAGCCCAAAATACACGGGTCCCGAAAACCTGCACCCCACGTGGACACAAATCCTACCCCAACCCCCGGAGAGGCCCAATCAACCTTAGAGAGGCACTTCCAAATTCCAAAGCCTTAAAACTTCAGATGATGCGTTGTGGTAGTGGTGTAGGATCGATTGCAAATGCTTGAGGGACTGCTGTCGGCCAAGCCTGACAGCCCCACCTACAGGGTGAATCTATTGAGTATGCTGATAACGAGCCGCATGAATCAGTATCGCTGCAGACCTTGCCAGCATTGTCTGAGTGTGAGTGTCAAAAAGCCTCATCCAACCCTTGATAGAACCTTCGTTCATGTGACAGGTATTCTCATGGCCTTTGGTCTCCTCGTCGTAGTTCCGGCCGCATGCCTCCATAGTCTGGTGCCTTCAGAGGGGCTTATGAGGGTTAGGTTTAGGGTTTAAGGTCTATGTTGGATCTTTGAGGGGTTGTGTCGGGGCCAAGTTGTACAGGGCCCCAAAGGGTGAAACATGTCGTGACTTCCCGTGGTCTTTGCAACGGGCGAACTTTGACTTGCTGGGCCTTTTATAACTAGCCCACGTTGAAGAGAAGTGAGCCGTTCTTGGGCATGATAGGAAAATACAGTATGATAGAACAGAATCTGGTATCATATAGTGACGAGAAGAGATCGACTTTGGTTGAAGGCATCCACTGCATCTGGGTCCCTTGGCAAGAGGATCGTAGTGGTAAACATGTTCAAAAAGTCGCTCAAGGACATCGACACACCATTCCCAGAGCATGTTTACAAATCTGGCCAGGAGGCAAAGCGTCTAATCAGCACGGTTTGGGGCCGTCCCATCCTAAGCCTTTTTAAGCCCAAAGACCTCCAAACTTTAGGCTCCGATAGCATAAGCCCTGGTCTCTGTAGAAATTTTGGAGCCTGCCCAGTACTTCTTTGGCCACCATGCGGAAGATGACGGCTTTAGCTTCGACATGCGTGCTGCCTACATCGAGCCCTTCCCCACGGACGCTTCTGGTTGATGCCGAGCCGTAGTCGGAAGTTCTGGTGAAATCCACCTTGATTTCGACTCTGTGTCAGGAAGAGGGCCTAGGCCCCAAGGCCCTTGTTGCGATTTCTGATGGTATTCTAGTGTTTGCAGATTTTGGCAAACCCAAAGCTTCAGCGAGATAAGGCTCGACAAGGACGGTGGTCTACTGATGGATCCTTTTGGAAATCATCCCGGGGGCTTCTGGAAATTGGCGGGGATGCCTTGTTCTGGGTCCTTGTAACGAAGATCCCTTGATATTATTTATTTAGCGTGTTCCACTGGAGAACCCTGTCACGGAAATCCAACGGCCACAAACCTAGAAGCAGCAGCCTGCCAAGCCCACAAGCAAACCAACTAAACCCAGAGCCCTAAACCCTAGTCGATGTTGACCCAAAGACGCCTCGCGTGTGAGCATCGAACTCAGCCATTCGAGGGGGAAAAAGCCAGAGCCTCTAAACCTATCAAGCTTAAGAACGCAGACTCCAGACTCCAGACCACACAGACAACTGACAGCCGACCGGACAAAGACAACAGAACTTCTTATTAAAGTCTCGTAAACGACTCACGAGCTCTTGCACGCTTCTTAACGAAACCTGCGCACGAGGCTCGTCGACCATCCGGAGAACCCTGAGAGAACTCCGAAGGGCCGAAGAACAGAAGACCGAAACCGCTTAAACCTTACAAAACCTAAACCTCCTCAGCCGCAAGATATAGGGCTCGGTGGTAGAATTAGGGTACACTAACTACCATCTCCCCCAAAACCCCGTTCTTTTCGGTGGGGCCCTAAATCAAGCCGTATATGCCTTGTCGGCCCTAAACCCTACACAAGCCCAAAAGACGCAGGAGGAGCAAAGGCGGAAGAAGGAGTCGAAGAGGCTTCCTGCGGCTACGAGATTGTAGTTTCTGGTTACATTCTTGGTGGTTCGATTTTGTCTTTGAGTTTTGTCAGCAGGATGTAGAGTTCACAGAAGGATGCTGCCGGTGTTGGTTGGGAGTTCTGGCTTTAGGCCCCTCCCGACTCCCGATCTTCTCTTCCTGAGCCCTGACCTCTGGAACACAATTCTTCGGACGGAGTCCGAAGCCTTAAACTCAGCACCTGGTAATTGGAGAGGCGGCGATTCTTCTGGCAGGACAAGTATCAGCCGCCAGACATCGTCGAGATTGAGACCTGGCTACGGCATGTTACAGCCATGTCATCCACCTAAACCCTGCTCCCTAATCTGCGATCCTGGCTGGGTGTAATCTGTGGGGTACATTGAGCGCCGCCTGGCAAAATAAAACCTAAGTTGTTTTGAGCAGGTTTGATGTGTTGAAAGGCTGGGCAAGATTCATGTAGGTATGTTGGCTCATGATCAGCATGTGGCAGAGCTCTCCATAGGCCGTAGATTGAGGTGCCCCAAAGCGATACATGTATATTACTTATATATATATATACATAGCTGTATAGATTGTGATGGGTTGTCGCCTGTGCATCTTCAGACTTTCATGCATGTTCCAGGGATTCCAGGGCTATTGTGGCCATCAAAGGTTTGCGGCTTCGGCGATGCACTTCCAGATGTTCTTGTGTAAAGGCGATCAGTAAGGGAAGAGCAGTGGGGGGAAGAGGAGAGAGAGCGAGAGAGAGAGAGAGAGCGAGAGAGAGCGAGAGCGAGAGAGCGAGAGTGAGTGAGTGAGTGAGTGAGTGAGTGAGTGAGTGAGTGAGTGAGTGACTGAGTGACTGAGTATGAGTGAGTGAGAGAGCGCGTGAGTGACTGAGTGAGTGAGTGAGTGAGTGAGTGAGTGAGCGAGGGAGCGAGCGAGCGAGCGAGCGAGCGAGTGAAATAGAGAAAGAGACAGACCATAGTTCCATTTTTGCATGTCGAGGGGTCCGTTTGAGGTTCAAGGCGTGCTTGAAGTGGTTTAGGGCTTAACAGCATCACCTGAAAGCAGGGAATCTTCAGACTGTGCACGGGGAATCGAACCTGTGCGGACCGGAGCCATGGCTTCGTCGGGTAGCTGCTGCTTGCACATCCATGCTCGTCGTTACCATCGTCAAAAGACGGATAAGCCAGTAACGCTGCTTGGCTTCGAGCAGTGAATGACTGCATGTTAGGAACTGCCGGTCTCTCTATGTGTTTTTGGCATTTGCACCCCCTGTCACCGCCACCGCCACCACCACCACAAGCAGCAGCAGCACCACCACCACCACAAGCACCAGCGCCAGCACCAACACCACCATCACCACCACCAGAACCGGCAACCACCACCGGCAGCACCACCATCAGCACCATTGCCACCACCTCGACGTCAAACTACCACGATTATCGCTGTCGCGTGCAAAGGCGACACGACCATCATCTGTCTCACCACAACTATCAACAGCAGCAGCAGCTGCTGCTGTTTCGGTTGCGGTTGCGGTTGCGGTTGTGGTTGTTGCTGTTGTTGCTGTTGTGGTTGTGGTTGTTGTTGTTGCTGCTGATGCTGCTGCTGATGTTGTTTTTTTTTTTTGTTGTTTTTGTTGTTGTTGTTGTTGCTGTTGTTTCTGCTGTTGTTGTAGTTGTAGTTGTAGT